TGTGTGTGTGTGTGTGTGTGTGTGTGTGTGTGTGTGTGTGTGTGTGTGTGTGTGTGTGTGTGTGTGTGTGTGTGTGTGTGAGTGTATTTCCATGTGTGTGTATCTGTGTATGTGTGCGCGTGTGTGTATGTGTGTATGTGTGTGTGTGTGTTTGTACCCCTGCGCTTGGACCTTTATATGAGCGTGTGTACATGTCTTTTCTCTTTATCTGTGTGTATTTGCATGTGTACATGTGTGTTTGAGCGTGCGCGCGCGCGTGTGTGTGTGTGTGTGTGTGTGTGAGTGTGTTTGGACGCACGCGCTTGGACCCTTATTTGTGAGTGTGCATCTCGCAGAGACTGATAGACGACTGTCTGTTGCAATGAGAAGAAAGGCGTTGGGCAAAGGATCAGTTGAGAAACATTCTCCCTGGTCGGTTTACCCTAGACAGCATCAATCTTATCTATGCTCTCTTTAGAGTCACGCCCTCACCCTGGCTCTGAAAAGAGTGGGCTTTTGCTTCGTGAGTGCTTTTGTCCGAGATGAATTCAAAGAAATGCTGTGTGTGCAACTGATATGGATAGAAGTAGAGAATCAAAATGGGTATCTTACAAGATATTTTGCTACCGAAAAAGTGCGCTGCCCAAAATACGTGTGATATAGATGTAGCCATCGTCATTAATGAAGCGTTCAGTTTCGTCTCTCAAGCAAAGACAGATTCTTATGAGAGTGATTTTTATCCTTACTCTTTTTCTACAGGATACTCGACCCCGTAAAATAGCCTTCTATGAGCAATAATATAGGTGTAGCCACCAGCGGTATTGAGGACTTTTTCTTTAGTTTATTTTAGTTTATCTAACAAAAGAGCGCGCCTTGTTTTAGTGTATATAATATTTATATTTTTTGCACTGCTTTGTGCCGACTCCGCAAACATATTGAAAATAGTCTCAACGAGTTATTTGCCGAATCCAGACCTATGCATAATCTATCATACCACGATCTTTTTCTGCTCTGTGTAACTTTAGTGATAGAATAACGTCATTGAAACTTGAAACTGTAATCTATCTATAGTGATAAAATCTGTCCAAAATTCTGTTGGTTAAGCCGGCTGAAACACAGATATTTTTTTCTTACAGTTAAAGAAAAATACAGTACAACTGTCACCTCACTTCAATGCTGACAACAACATCACGTGCAAAAATGTTACCAGACTCCCTCAATAATGACATTTTCTGTCTCTCCGCCTCTGTCTTCGTTTTCGAAACACAACCACCAGCATATTATCAGTTTCACCTCGATTTGCACCAAGGACGGAGCTAGCTTATAATGTCAAAGCCGTCACCGTATACTCTACTGACC